CCTCGCCGGGGGCACCCTGTGGGGAGGGGAGGGGAGGGGGTGTCAGGGGGCGCCTGTGCCAGACCCCCCCACCCCGCCCAGCCCCCTGCCCACCCCCCAACACCCCCCCGTGCAGCTTCACTTACGGTGGGGCCGACTTTGCCTTGGGGACCGGCGTCACCGGGGCGGCCCGTGAGGCCCTGCAGGGGACAGGGGAGCTCTGGGGGGGGGCTGGGCACCCCTCATGGGGGGGGCACAAGGGTCTACCCAACCCCCACCACCCCAGAGAGCGTCTTTGCTCACCCCAAAGAGCGCCCGACCCCAAAGAGCACCCAATCCCAAAAAGGATCCAATCCCAAAGTGTGTCTGACCCCAAAGAGCACCCAATCCCAAAAAGGATCCAATCCCAAAGTGTGTCTGACCCCAAAGAGCACCCAATCCCAAAAAGGATCTGACCCCAAAGAGTGTCCCACCCCAAAGAGTGTCCCACCCCACAGAGCACCCAACCCCAAAATGATCTGACCCCAAAATGGATCCAACCCCAAGAGCGTCTGACCCCAAAGAGCACCCAACCCCAAAAAGGATCCAACCCCAAAAAGGATCCAACCCCAAAAAGGATCCAACCCCAAAAAGGATTCAACCCCAAAGAGTGTCCAATCCCCAAAAGGATCTGACCCCAATAAGGATCTGACCCCAAAGAGCACCCGACCCCAAAAAGAATCCAACCCCAAAGAGCATCTTTGTGAACCCCAAGTGTGTCTTAACCCCAGAAGGCATCTTAATTAGCGAAGAGCATCTTAATTAACCCCAAAGGATTTCTTGGTTAGCACCAGAGAGCAACTGACCCAACCCCAGAAAACACCTTAATGCCAAAGAGCACCATGGCCAAGGCCAAAAGCACTGCATTGACCCCAAAAGCATCTTAAACAACCCTAAAATCACCTCTTTGACTCCAAAAGCACCTCAGACAACCCTAAAGGCATCTTATTAACCCCAAAGGCACTTTATCGACCCCAAAAGCACCTAGTTGACCCCAGAAGCACCTCAGACAACCCCAAAAGCACCTTACTGACCCCAAAAGCACATGATTGACTCTTAACCCTAAAAGCACCTTATCGACCCTAAAAACACCTTATCAACCCTGGAAGCATCTCATTGACCCCAGAAGTACCTCATTGACCCCAAAAGCACCTCATTGACCCCAGAAGCATCTTAACCCTAAAAGCACCTTATTGACCCTAAAAGTGCCTTATCAACCCTAAAAGTGCCCTATCGACCCCAAAAGCACCTTATTAATCCCAGAAGCACCTTATTAACCCCAGAAGCATCTTAACCCTAAAAGCACCTTATCGACCCTAAAAGCACCTTATCAACCCTAAAAGCACCTTATCGACCCTAAAAGCACCTCATTGACCCCAAAAGCACCTCATTGACCCCAAAAGCACCTCATTGACCCCAGAAGCATCTTAACCCTAAAAGCACCTTATGGACCCCAAAAGCACCTCACTGACCCCGAAGCCCCCCCTTGCTGACCCAGCGGGTCCCACTGGCATCCCCACTGTCCCCACTGTCCCCTGTCCCCCCTGCCCCCCCCCAGTGCCCCCCACCCCCGTGGCCCCCCCGTTTCTCACCCTGGCTCCGGGCAGTCCGGGCTCTCCGGGCCGTCCGGGGTCGCCGGTGGCTCCTTTGGGACCCGCCAGCCCGGCGGGGCCGCGCTCGCCCGGAGCGCCCTGCGAGGGGTTGGGGGTGACTCCGGGGGTCCAAGGGGGTGTTCCCCGCCCTGGAAACCCCCCCCCCTTGACCCCCGTGACCCCCGCCCACCCCCCACCGCGACCCCCCCACCTTGGGTCCGGCCAGCCCGTCCTGTCCCGGGAAGCCGCGGTTGCCGGGAGCGCCCTGTGGAGGAAGAGGAGGAGGAGGAGGAGGAGGATGGGAGTCAGGGGAGGATTTTTGGGGAGGTTTCGGGGCGGGATAGGGGGGGACACACACTCACCCTTTCTCCCGGGGGTCCCAAAGGACCGGCAGCGCCGGGTTCGCCGCGGGCTCCTCTCTTGCCTTCCTCGCCCGCCGGCCCGGGGGCACCTTGGGGTCCCGCGGGGCCCTGCGGGGGGGAGGGAGAGGAGGGACAAGGGGGTCACCGGGAGCCTTCCTCCCCCCATAGCCGTCCCCCCCCCCCTCCCGGGCAGGAGCCCCCCGACGTGCCCCCCCCAGCCCCGGCGGCGCCGGGGCCCCGCGGAGCCCCGGCATTGAGGGTGGTTAATGAAGCGAGGGGGGAATGTCCCCGCGGGGGGGGGACGGGGCGCGCACACAGCGGCCCTTTGTCCCCCCGCGGGAGGGGGACGCTGCCCCTCGAGGGGCCTCCCGAGGGGGACGGGCCCCGGCAGACGCCGAGGAGACGCCGCGGGGACGGGGACGGGGACGGGGACGGGGACGGGGACGGGGATGGGGACGGGGACGAGCCCCAGTCTCCGCCCGGGGTGGGGGGTCCCGGGTGCGGCCCCCCCTCGGTGCTGGACTCACCGTCTCACCCTTGGGTCCCTGCTCGCCTTTGAAGCCCGCGATTCCCGGTTCTCCCTGTGGAGAGAGGGGGTTTGGACAAGGTGCCAGTGTCCCTGTCCCTGCTGTGGAATCCAGCTCCTGTCCCCATCCCTGCGTTCTCCAGGTCCTATCCTCCATCCCTGCTGTGGAATCCAGCTCCTGTCCCCATCCCTGCGTTCTCCAGGTCCTATCCTCCATCCCTGCTATGGAATCCAGGTTCTGTCCCCATCCCTGTGTTCTCCAGCTCCTGTTCCCATCCCTGGTGTGTTCTCCAGCTCCTGTCCTTCATCCCTGCTCTGGAATCCAGCTCCTGTCCCCATCCCTGTGTTCTCCAGCTGTGTTCTCCAGCTCCTGCCTCCATTCTCCAGGACCTGTCCTCCATCCCTGCTGTGGAATCCAGCTCCTATCTCCATTCTCCAGCTCCTATCTCCATTCTCCAGCTCCTATCCTCCATCCCTGCTGTGGAATCCAGGTCCTGTTCCCATTCCTGGTGTGTTCTCCAGCTCCTGCCCTCCATCCCTCGTGTGTTTTCCAGTTCCTCTCCGCATCCTGATATGTTTTCCAGCTCCTGTCTCTCCATCCCTGGTGTGTTTTCCAGCTCCTGTCTCTCCATCCCTGGTGTGTTTTCCAGCTCCTATCTCCATCTCTGGTGTGTAATCCAGCTCCTGTCCCCATCCCTGGTGTGTGTTTTCCAGTTCCTCTCCCCATCCCTGGTGTGTTCTCCAGGCCTTGTCCACATCCCTTTCCTCATCTCCATCTTCATCCCAGTCCTCTCACATGTTCCCATCCCCATCCCATCCCACCTGTGGGAAAATGGGAAATAGGGGCGGAAAGGGAAAAAAGGAAGGGAAATGGGAATAAAAGGGGAAAAGGGGAGGGAAGCAGAATAGGAAAAAAAGGGAGAAAATGGAGGGAAAGGGGAAAAAAGTGGGAAAATGAGGGAAAAGAGAGGAAAAGGGAAAAGGGGAGAAGTGGGAACAAAAGAGGGGGAAATAGGGAAAAAAAGTGGTGGAAGGGGAAAAAGCAAGGGGGAGAATGGAAATAAAAGAGGGGAAAAGGGGGGAAATGTGGATTAAAGGGGAAAAAATTGGGGAAAATGAGGAGAACCAGGAAAATAATGGGGAAAAGGGGTAAAAGACCAGGAAGGAAATGGTCAAAACCCGAAGGGTCTCTGTCTCACCGTCTGTCCCTTGGGGCCCAGGGGGCCGGTGGCTCCTTGGGGGCCGGGGGGGCCACGGGGGCCGGGGAAACCTGGAGCACCAGCGATGCCCGGGGCACCCTGAGGGCAGTGGGCACCGTCAGGGGGCACGGCCGTGTCCCCCCTGCGGCCCCCTGTCCTCCCCGTCCTCCCCCTGTCCCTCCCCAGTGTCCCCCCATGGCCCCCTGTCCTCCCTGTCCTCTCCCTGTCCCTCCCCACTGTCCCCCTGCCAGCGTCCTCCTGTCCCCCAGCAGCTCACATCCCACACTGTCCCTGCAGCCCCCGGTGTCCCCCAGTGTCCCCCAACATCCCCGTGTCCCCCAGTGTCTCCCAGCATTTCCCCAATGTCCTCCAGTGTCCCCCAGAGTCCCCCAGCATCTTCCCAGTGTCCCCCAGTATTCTCCCAGTGTCCCCCAACATCCCCATGCCCCCCAGTGTCTCCCAGCATCTCCCCAATGTCCCCCGGTGTACCCCAGCATCCTCCAGTGTCCCCCAGCATCTTCCCAGTGTCCCCCAGCATCTTCCCAGTGTCCCCCAGCATCCCCCCAGTGTCCCTCAGCATCTTCCCAGTGTCCTCCAGCATCCCCCCAGTGTCCCCCAGCATCCCCCCCGTGCCACCCAGCATCCCCACATCCCCCCAGTGTCTCCCAGTGTCCCTCAGCATCCCCCCAGTGCCACCCAGCATCCCCACGTCCCCCCAGTGTCCTCCAGTGTCCCCCCAGTGTCCTCCAGCATCCCCCAAGGGTCACTCCACTATCCCCATGTCCTCCAGCATCCCCCCTGTGTCCCCCAACATCTCCACATCCCCCAGCACCCCCCAGTGCCCCCCCAGTGCCCCCCCAGTGTCCCCCAGCCCCCAGCACCCCCCAGCCCACCACCCCATTTCCCCCCAGCCCCCAGCGAACTCCTGCCCCCGTAGGTGCCCCACGACCCCAAATCCTTTGTGTCCCCCAGATCCCAGCCCCAAACCCCCAAACCCTCAGCAGCCCCTCCTCACCCTGCACCTCTCCGGGGGTCTCTGAACACCCCTCCCCTCCCCACCCCTGTCCCCAAACCCCGCTCACCGCTGAGCCCTTGGCTCCGGGGATGCCGTCCGTGCCCGGGTTACCCTAAAAGGAGACACCGCTGAGCTCCTCGTGCCTCGGTTCCCCCGAATCCCCTTCCAGGGACAGCTCCCGGGGCAGGGGACAACGCCGGGACGAAGCCACCAGGGAGGGGACGTGGGACGTGGCACTTACGGGGGCGCCGGCGGGGCCGGGGGAGCCGGGGGTGCCGGATTCGCCGCGGGGGCCCTGGGCACCCTCGGGACCTCGGGCTCCAGTGGGACCAGCTTCACCCTGGGGGGAGGAACGAGGGGGTGAGGGGTCACTGGGGGGAGGAATGAGGGGTGAGGGGTCACAGCGGGTGCTGTGCCTCGAGTTTCCCCCCCCCTCCATCCCCGGGGTCAGCCCCGTCCCCGTTACCTTCGAGCCGGGGGCGCCGGGAAAGCCGGGAGCTCCAGCTGGGCCGACGGGTCCCTGGAGGCGAGAGGAGTGTGAGGGTCTGCCCAGGCTTTGGGGGGGGGCCTGGGGGACCCCGCTGTGCCCCCCGTGGGGTGACACGGGGTCCGGGGAGGGCCCGAGCAGCCCTTGACTTACGGGGGGTCCGGCGGGACCGGGGAGACCGTCGTTGCCACGAGCGCCCTGGGGGGAGATGGTGGTGGTGTGAGGCACGGGGGGCACCGCGGGGGGACCCCCCTGCCGGCGGGGGGGACATGGGGGTGTCACCAGGGTGCCACCGAGGTGCCACCGGGGGCACGGGCAGCGTCACACTCACAGCGGCACCGGAGGGGCCGGGACGTCCTCTCTCTCCGGGCAGCCCGCGGGGACCCTGGGGGGACACGGGGGCTGGTCAGGCTCGGGGGGGCTGTGCCTCCCACCCCCAATTTCCACCCCCCTCGTGCCTCAGTTTCCCCCTTGTGCAGCCCGAGGACTCACCATGGGGCCGGGGGAGCCGTTCTCGCCGGGGGAGCCGGATTCGCCCTGCGGGGAGGGACAGAGGGGGTGAGTGCCGGGGGTGACCGAGGGGGTGGGCACTGCGTCGGCCCTGAGGCCACGGGGATGGTCACTCCGTCAGCTCCAGGGCCATGGGGATGGTCACTCCATCAGCACCAACACCACAGGGATGGTCACTCCATCAGCCACTGGGATGGTCACTCCCCCAGCCCTGAGGCCACAGAGATGGTCACTCCATCAGCCCTGAGGCCACTGGGATGGTCACTCCATCAGCTCCAGGGCCATGGGGATGGTCACTCCATCAACCACTGGGATGGTCACTCCATCAGCCCCAACACCACTGGGATGGTCACTCCCTCAGCCCCAGTGCCATGAGGATGGTCACTCCATCAGCCACTGGGATGGTCACTCCATCAGCTCCAGGGCCATGGGGATGGTCACTCCATCAGCCACTGGGATGGTCACTCCCTCAGCCCCAACACCACTGGGATGGTCACTCCATCAGCCCCAACACCACTGGGATGGTCACTCCCTCAGCCCCAGCGCCATGAGGATGGTCACTCCATTGGCCACTTGGATGGTCACTCCATCAGCCCCAACACCACTGGGATGGTCACCGGGATGGTCACCTGGCCAGCCCTGATGTCATGGGGATGGTCACTCCATCAGCCCCAACACCACTGGGATGGTCACCAGGATGGTCACCTGGCCAGCCCTGATGCCACAGGGATGGTCACCTGGCCGGTCACCTGGCTGGTCACCTGGCTGGTCACCTGGCCGGTCACCTGCCCAGCCCCAACACCACGGGGGTGGTCACCCCACACCCACCTTGGCTCCAGGAGCTCCCGCCTCTCCTTTGGCGCCGTCCAAGCCGGGGTATCCCTGGGCACACGGAAAGGGGGGGATCACCCTCCGTGCCCCCGGGTGAGGGGGGCACTGGGGGCCCAAGGGGGGGGACACTCACTTACCCTGTGACCCTTCACTCCGGGGAGCCCGGGGGTCCCGGGGAAGCCACGAGCGCCCTGTGAGAGGAAGAGAATTGGGGGTGAAGGGGGGGACACACGGGGGGTCCCTGTCCCGGGGGGGACACATGGGGGGTCCCTGTCCCGGGGGGACACACGGGGGGTCCCTGTCATGGGGGGGCCGGATCCAGACTCACCTGGGGGCCGGGGGGGCCACGCTCGCCGGATTTGCCGGGTTTGCCGGTCTCACCCTGCAGGGAAACGAGATTTGAGGGGAATAAAAACCACCTTTTATGGCCACTGCTGCAACGAGCTGCCCGTTCTCAGCCGGGGTTTGCACTCACGTCGTCTCCAGGTTTTCCAGGAGGTCCTGGTGGTCCCCGGGGACCCATGGGACCCTAAAGGGGACAGAGAGGCAGCGGGTGAGTGGCAGTTGGGGGGTGGCAGGTCCCTGGGGGGAAGGGGGGGGTGATGGGGGCACTCACAGCAGCGCCGGGCTCGCCGGGCTCACCGGGGTTGCCTTGAAATCCTTGGGGCCCCTGGAAGAGACGGTGGCATCAGCGGGGGGGGGGAGGGAAGAGGTGGTGACATCGGTGGGAGGGGGTGGGGGGGCGGGGTGCCCACCCAGAGACCCCAAAACCCGGTGGGGAGGGGGTTACTCACGGGAGAGCCGGAGGGTCCGGGGGGGCCACGGGGTCCCATAGGGCCCTGGGGGGGTGGGGGGGGAGAAAAAACAGTGTCACAGAGGGGGGGGTGGCCCCCCATCACCTGCCACAGCAGGGGGATCCCCCAAACTGGGGGTGGTCCCCACCATCGCTGATGTGTGTGAGGGGGTGCAGGGGGGGTTTCGGGGGGTCCTGTGGAGCCGGGGGGGCCTTACCATGGGTCCCTGCATGACGCCCAGCTGAGCCCCTCCAGCCTTCTCGTCGAAGCCCCCCGCCATCTGCGCCGCGAAGTTCTGCGGGAGGGGAGGGGGGCTGAGCGCGCCGGGACCCCCAAAATCCCCTCCTCCCGCCCCAAAAACCCCTCCATACTCACCCCACCGAGCCCGGCGGGGCCGGGAGGGCCGGGAGGGCCGGGGGGGCCGGGATTGCCGGGGGTGCCGGGCTCTCCATCCCTGCCCCGGGGACCGGGAGGACCCTGAGGGGGATAAAAAAGGGGGTGGGTGTCATCCGTGCGGTGAGTGGGACAGCGGGACAGTTCTCTGCAGCCCCCCACAGCTGCCGGGGGGGTGGGGTGGGGGCGCTGCTGGGGGTGGGGGGACACTCTCACCTTCTCCCCCTTCTCGCCGCGGTCCCCTCGTTGTCCCTGCTCGCCTGCCGGGCCCTGGGGGGGGAGGAGGAGGAGGAGGAGGAGGAGGAGGAGGCGTAGGGGGGGTCAAATCGCCCTCTCCCCGCCCCACCCCCCCTCCAAGGCCCCTCAACCCACCCCCCCCCAACCCCACAAATATTCCAGCAATGCGGGAAACGCTCCCACCTGCGGTCCCGGAGGCCCTCGGGGTCCTACGACCTGTGGGAAGGGGGGGACACAAGGTTGGGGTGAGACACGAGACCTTCCCCTTCCCTCCCCCTCCCCAAATTTTGGGGCTGTCTCCCACACTCACATCTTTAATGTCACCGGGTTCACCCTTCTGCCCCTGCAAGGCAAAGCAGGGGGTGAGACAAGACCCCCCCTCCAAAATCCCTCTGTCCCCCCACAACTCCCCCCAAAGGGGTGACAATCCCCCCTCCCAGGAGGTGACAAACCCCCCCCCGGGAGGTGACAACCCCCCCCCAGCAGGTGACGACCCCCCCGAGGGTCATCACGAATCACACAACCCCCCCAAAACCCCCCCCCGAACCCCCCCCCCTGCCTCGAGCCCTCCCCCGAATTTTGGGGCGAGCCCCCCCGGGATCCCCTCACCTTGGGGCCGGGCTGCCCTGTGGGGAAAACAAAGAAATAAAGAGAAATTAGTGCTGGGGGGGTTTGGGGGCTGGGGGGGTCGGGGGGGGGACACACGAGACTTCTCCATCCCGGGGGGGTGCTGGTGCTCCTTGGGGGGGGGCTGTGGGGCCAAAAGGGGGGCCCGGGGGGCTCCCCCGAAGCGCTGGCAGGGCGTGTTTTGGGGGTGCAGCGGGGCCAGCACGCGGGAGGGGGGCTCTGAGGGGTATTTTTGGGGTGAGGGGGGCAGCTGGGTGGGGGCTCAACCCTTCCCACCCCTCCAGCTGGGGCGGGGAAGGGTTAAAAAAAAGGCAACTTTTGGTTTTGGGGGAGGTTTGGGGGGTTTGGGGTCGTGGCTCTTTTGGGGAGGGGGCTTGGGGGGGAGGTTTTCTGTGAGTTTTGGGGTGAGGAACAGCCTTTGGATGTCCAAAGTTATCCCCTCCACCCCCTCCCCAGCATCACCCCCTGCACCCCACACCCAAAAAACCCTCGCCCAAGAAAACCCCAACCCTTACAAAAGCCGCCAAACAAACCTCCTTACCCCCTTTTTCCCCCAAAAAAAACCCCCCATCTCTTACAAAAAACACCAAAAAAACCACCTTACACCTTTCGCAGAAAAAAACCACACCCCTTACAGAAAACACTAAAAAAACACTTTATCCCTTTTCCCCCAAAAATCCACCCTTTAAAAAAAAACACCAAAAAAACCTCCTTACCCCTTTTCCCCCCCAAAAAACCCACTCCTTAAAAAAAAAAGCTAAAAAACCACTTTACCCCTTTTCCCCCCAAAAAAACCCTACCCCTTACAAAAAAACCTACTAAAAAAATCACCTCACACCTTTCCCAGAAAAAACCACACCCCTTACAAAAAACACTAAAAAACACTTTACCCCTTTCCCAAAAAAACACCAAAAAAACCCCCAACCTTACCCCTTTTCCCTCCAAAAATCCACCCCTTACAAAAAACACTAAAAAACCACTTTATCCCCTTTTCCCTCCCAAAATCCACCCCTTACAAAAAACACTAAAAAACCACTTTATCCCCTTTTTCCCCAAAAAATCCACCCCTTACAAAAAACACTAAAAAACCACTTTATCCCCTTTTCCCTCCAAAAGCCCCCCTTACAAAAAACACTAAAAAAAACCACTTTATACCCCTTTTCCCCTCCCAAAATCCACCCCTTACAAAAAACACTAAAAAACCACTTTACCCCTTTCCCCCCCCAAAAAATCACCTTTCCCCCTTCCCAAACAAACCCCACCCCAAACCCCTGCAGGTTTTGGGATAAAAAAGGAATTTTTTTTTTCCCCACTGCTCGAGGTGATTTTTTTTTTAACCCTCTCACAGGGGGTTGGGACTGGGGGGGCATCAAGTTGCCTTTTCCCTGCACTTCCCCCATGGATGTTCCCCCTTCCCGGGCCCATCCATGGGTGGGAAACTTATTTATTAACGACGAGGGGATATATAAATATATATATATATGTATTTATATACCTATATATGTATATATGTCTATATATCCCCCTGTCGTTAATAAAGATATTTATTTATTAATTTATTTTTTATTCATTTATTAACGATGAGGGGATATATACACACATATATGTATATATATGAATGTATCTGTGTGTATATCCCCTTGGCGTTAATAAATTTATTTATTAATTTATTTTTTTATTTATCTATTAATGACAAGGGGGTATACATAGACATATATGTATATGTATATATATGCATATATGTGTGTATATATATCCCCTTGTCATTAATAAATAAATAAATAAATAAATTTATTTATTTATTTATTTATTTATTTATTTATTTATTTATTTATTTATTTATTTATTTATGACGAGGGGGTATATACAGACACATGTGTATATATATATATTCCCCTGTTGTTAATAAATACATTTATTTATTTATATTTATTTATTTATTAATGACAAGAGGATACACACACACACGCACGTATATATCCCCTTGTTATTAATAAATTTATTTATTTATTTTTTATTTATTTATTCATTAACAACAAGGGGATACATATATGTATACGTGTATATATATGTATATATGCATCTCATCTCTCTCTATATCCCCTTGTTATTAATAAATTAATTAATTTATTTATTTATTTTTATTTTTTTTATTTATTAATGACAAGGGGATATATACACATATATGCATATATACATATAAACATATATAATATATATATACATATATACAAATTTATACATGTATATATGTATATATGGTATATGACATATATACACATATATACATATAAACATATATATTATATATATATACATATATATACATGTATATATGTATATATGATATGATATATGACATATATACACATATACACACATACACATATATACATATAAACATATATAATATATTATATATATATACATATATATACATGTATATATGTATATATGATATGATATATGACATATATACACATATATACACATACACATATATACATATATACATATAAACATATATAATATATAATATATACATACATACATACATATATATGTATATATGTATATATGATATGACATATGACATATATACACATATATACATATATACACATATACATATATATACACACATGTATACATATATATACACATATATACATATATATACACATATATACATATATATACACATATATACATATATATACACATATATACATATATATACACACATATATATCGATATGTATAAAATATATATAAAATACGCTCTATAAAATATATATATGGGTAAAGCAGAAAGAGTTGCCGACCGCTGGGCTGGTCAGTGGGGCAGATGGGGCAGCACTCTCCGAAGGGGATTTCGGGGCTGGGGCAGTCGCGCAGCTCCTCGCAGATGATCTCGTCGCACAGGACGGTGCCGGTGTCGCACACGCAGATCCGGCACGGCTCCGGCTTCCACACGTCCTTGTCGCTGTAGCGCTGCCCGTCCTGCAGGCAGCTGCCTGCCTCGGCTGCGGGGGGGGGGGGCACAGGGCAAGGCAGGGCAAGGCAGGGCAAGGCAGGGCGGGGGGCGAGGGGGGGGCGGCGGGGAAGGGGATGGGGGGGTCAGCGTGGGGGAGGAGGGGG